TCAGCTGTACCCTCGATGCCTGCACTGCACACCCAGGACCCCGTGGCCCTTGCTGTCGGATTGAAGGGACCCAGGTCGGCTGTAAAGGCCAAGCACACTCTCACAAGCCGCCTACCCCACTGGCCCAGGGCCCCCCCAGAGGCAGTGGGAGCCCAGGACTGCAAGCTCCCCACGAAGCTCTCCCGCCTCTCCCTCTCGCAGGGTGATGCCTGGTCCAAGGCCATGTGACCCCAGAGCGCAGGGAGTGAGGACCCGGGCTCAGGGAAGCCCACCGGGCCAACATGGACAGCAAACCCAGAGGGCGCTTGGCTGAACGCGAGGATGCGCACAGAGGCAAAGGCAACAGACAGCAGTTCCATCCGAGGGTTATCAAAATCGGCTCCTGCCCAAAACTGTCATCTCTTTATCTAGACTCTTCTTTTTCCTCAGTTCACCCAAAAGATGGCCTCCATTAGATTGCCTCTGCCCAGGGTTTGCCCGGGTCTGGGTGCCCATTTCTTCCCTCCTCCTGGGCCCAGCCCCTCTGGCCCGGGCACCTCCACCTCTCCGAGTGTTGGGCCTGCTCTGGCTTCTCCAGACAGCACTTTGCCTTGGGTCGCAGCCCTCCCACCGCTGGAGAAGGGTTAAAGGCACCTGGTCCTGGAATCTGCAGAAAAGTCCACTTCCAGCCCCAGGTCTCGCAGCCACTAGGTCCAGGGCGCACCCAGTGGGCACTGGCTTTGGTTCTGGAGCCCAAGGGCCAGGCTCTTCCCACGCAGCTCTGCTGCGTCCTCCTGGTGCTCTGAGGCAGGCGGGCGCCCTCAGGGGTCAGTTCTGGCGGGAGCCTATGCTTCCTTCACCGCAGCGCTGTGGGGGATCTTATTAATCGAGGTGGAAGGCGAGGACCTGCACCCTCCCACCAGATCGCAGCGGCCGTGGGACCGGCCCCCAGGCACTGAGGCTGCCAAGTTTCTCTTCTGAGACCGGAGAAGCGCTTGCTGCAACCTGCGGAACTCCTCATGGAGGCCATCCCTGAGCAGCACCCTTAAAAGGCCCTAGCAAGACCTAGGTCGACCTAGGTGGGTCCCCACTCTGTTACAGGGTGAAAAACGCAGGCAGGCGCAAAAAGAATAGAGTGCTTTGGCACAAGATTTCTGCCCTTGGGCAGTGGCTGGGTGGCAGCTCAGACCACCTTGGGTAGGCCGACACGGTTGTGCGCGACAATGGGAACCGGTCCACTCGGCGCGACTAGGCAATGGCAGGCGGCAGGGCGCTGTGGGGTCTGCGGCGCACTGAGAGCCCAGGAAACGAGTTCTGCCGCAGGAAGGGGTCATTGAAAGCTACTTCGCTAAGTGTAAATATTAAAAGGTGTCACCTTTTCGTAGTCGTGCTTTGGCAAAATTTCTATTTTTAAATTACATGCAGGATCAGTTCACAAAATGATAAGATTGTGGTCTAGGTTTTTGTGGTCTTTGTAGAAGCGTGGACATTCCTGCGCATATGCACACGCACGAACACACATTCACACACGCGCGCGTATACACACGTCAATACACACACGCACTTGCCCAGCACACAAACACGCACTCCCGCTTGTACTCGGGCCCACGCTAGCGGCGGCGGGGTAATCACAGTTCTCTTCAGACCGCGATTGGCTGGCCTGCTCCTCCTCCAGACCCCCAGCCAATGGGCAGCCGCCCGCACGCGGCCCCCACCCGGCGCGAGGGGCGCGGACGCTC